TGTGTGTGTGTGTGTGTGTGCAGGGAGTATCGCAGTCGTTTCACCAGTGAGGAGACGGTGTTGTTCTGCCTCCGTGTGATGGTCGGCGTCATCATCCTGTACGACCACGTTCATCCGGCCGGAGCCTTCGTTAAAACGGCCAACATAGACGTACGTTCACGAGACACACGATCACACCACACACTGTAAACAAACATCCGATGAGAGAATATTCTTTATCGCCCCCTGGTGTCTGGCTGCAGTATAGCTCATAAACCTCCTCCATGTTAGCAGATGGGACATGAACCAAACTAAAGAATCAAAGTAGACGTGAAATAAATGTTTGTAAAGACGTTTGTGTCACTTCAGCTCGTTCTTCTCTCTGATGTCTGTTCAAGTGTTTCTCATCAGTTTGGTTTAATCAGTTCACTGATATAAAAACAAGACGTCATGATTGACAGCTGACTCAGGATTTTTCGCTCTGTTTCCGTGGTGATGTTCAGATGAAAGGCAGCATCAGAGTGTTGAAGGAGCAGCCGCCCAGCAGCGTGGAGGGATTACTCAACGCTCTCAGGTGTGTGAAGCTCTGAATGAAACACAGAATCAAACCTGTGGTTAATGTCGACAGGCTGCAGACACACCGGGACCTCAATGTTTTAAAGTGACGCTTTACAATGAAAGTGTTTTAGCTTCATATCAGAAATAACCTCTGTCCACACTGACGCCTGAACAGACGTCACATGACCGTTCACCTACACTGGTCATGTGATGTAAACAGGAAGTAGAGTGTCTCCTCTGCAGTTGGTTGCTTAGCAACAGAAACTGAAGCAGTGATGGTGAAGAGTCAGAGCAGGGATTTATTTTCTCTGAGCGACGACGAGGTGGAACTGTTCCTGACAGGAAGTGTTAGCGACGCTTTGTGTTCACCGCTGGTAGTCGRGTCATGTGACCGATGAGAACCAATCACAAGAGAACGTGGGCGTCATCGTTTCCTAAAGTCTCAGTTTGCGTTCAGACTAAAACACAAACCAGAGTTTCAAACTGAAACCAGATCAGTTCACACGAATCACGAGGCTGCAGAACTCTGCCAGGCGTAACCATAGCAACAGTGATGAGTTTAATAACTGTGTGGGCGGAGCCTATGGAGGCAGTGACTTTCATCACCCACCTTATCTTCCTGCAGGTACACGACCAAGCATCTGAATGACGAGACTACCTCCAAGCAAATCAGAAACATGTTGCAGCCAAATTAACTCAACTGAAGAGTTTTGGTCCAGATTTCAAAAGAACTACTGAACAAACCTTTATCTAAAGATTGTCTGTTTAACCTCACTTGTTTTTTAAGGATTTTACTCTCATTTATATAAAAAAACTTTTTTGTTGTAAGAAAAAAAGAATATTTTTAGTCGGTTTCTCCACAAATCATCAGCTGCATCACATCAGATTTACAACAAATACATTGTGTATTAAAACTGTCATGATACAGTTGATGTTTTTTCTTTGTTGTCAGCAGTTTACAGTCAACTGACCGTTTGATCCCTCGAGCCTGAGCGCACGGAGAAAACGCATTTTCATGAGTATTACAAAAACAAACACTGACAAAATGAAAAAAGGCAGAAAACAACTGATCCTAGCAAATTTTCCCGCTGTGGCCTCGGGCTGTGCAGGTATCTCTGTATGAACGTGTCGGACCAAAGAAAGAAGTCATCGCTACTACTGCCGCTAACTGTGGTCGGTTCTGCTCTGATGTGAAACAAGCAGATTCGCAGACGTTTTAAAACTTAAGACATGTTGACGTGTTTGTTTGTCGACTCGTTGTTTCTCCTGAAGTGACGTGAACTTAGCGTTAGCAGACATGTCTGCACGTGTTGTTTGTTTGAACCCAGAAACTTCTAATTGGTTCTTTTCGTATTCAACAGGGAATCTGAACTTTCATTAGTGAATCCAACACAAAAAATAATGTGCGGCTTGTTTTGGTCTCAAGTCAGAATCGGACTCAGTTTTCAGTTCAGTGAAGCACGAACGTGTCAGAACTTTCCCAAAAATCAAATTTACTGTAACCACAGCAACATTTGACTTCTAGTTTCTGTGACACACGTTTTCATTTTCTGAGAGCGTCGTTAACACGCTAACGGGAACCGTTGAGTTAGCGAACAGAAGGAGAACCACTGTGACGACGCGGTACTGAAACGAGGGAAACCTCAGACTGATGTGATGACTGCTGACTGGAATCTTTCAGTCTGTTTTTGCCTTGTGTGTTGCAGCTGCCATTTTGAATGATGTTTGTGTCGGTGAAATAAAGTCAAGATTTTTAAGAAAAGTCTTTGTTTGTTTGTTCTCGAGTCACAAGACGTTATTCTGAGTTTCCTTGTTCTACTCAACGTAATACAAGCTGTTCATGAAGTGTGGAGACGAAACAGACGGGAGACAGTGGTGCAGCCTTCTCACTAATTTATCTACTTACTAAATCCCTGTGTACATGCAAACACACATACTGCACATTCCCACATGTACTGATACACTTATACCGTCACTACATCTTTTACTGAAGTATCAACGTGTTCTTTACTTTTCATGTTGTTTCAAATAAACAAACATAACTACATACAAACAGTTTTATCAACTGTCAGCAAATATCCTGAGATAATATTTAACACTCGTGTGGTGTGTGACTTTCTTTAATAGAATTCAGTCTTTCTTCTCACGGCCCTGTATAACCACAGCGTTCCATCTATGTGATTATGAGTTTATTCTGGATGGGGCTCTTGTAGTTCACTCGGATCTGCTTCCCTGTAAATAAAAATAAAAAGTTATTCTCATTTAAACTAAATAAGTCAATCAGTGAAGCTGTTGAAGCTTTTATCGCTCCACTCAAACAGCACAACAGATCATCCACTCAACTCCCTGACAAAAGAAGAAGAAGATGAACCAGGATCCTGTGGAGTACCACAGGGCCATATTCAAGGCCACATTTTATTTATAT